ATGCTGCTGGTGCCTCCATGCTTGTGAAATCATTTCGAGAAGCATTATTCAGGGCATCCCGGAACTCCCTTCTGATTTCATTGAAGAAAATAATGATCACATTCCAATCTTCAAGACCATGGCTTGGGCATCTCATCAATAGCCCCTTATAGCGCTCTCATGCTTCAGTCAGACTCTCATCATCAGTCTGGTTAAAAGTAACAATTTTCTCTTGCCTCTTCATTGCCAAGGCAGGTGGGAAGTACTTATCCGGAAAGGCCTTCTCAAGTTGAGCCCATGTCGTGATGGAACGTGGTGTTAAGTTCTGAAACCAGTGTGATGCATTCCCTATCAGAGAGAATGAGAATATCCGAAGACGAATTGCATCATCAGACACAGTTGGGCTCTTCATTGTATCACATATGCTCGCAAACTGGCGAAGATGTTCGTGAGAATCCTCAGTGACACACCCTAACCCGGCCGGGTACTACTTTTACTAAAATGCCCTTAATAAATAAAATACTCAAATCTTAAATTTCAACTCGGAAACAATTTTCATAAATAAAATACTGAAAACACACACTTGTAGCTTAGAGCAAAGCCCTAACACGTGGGCAAATTAAACTCAAACTTTAAAATCTCAAGCATCTCTAGTCTATACTCATAATCATAAGATGTAAATAACTAGGTGGTCTATGTCGTTGCTGTACTGAGAATCTTAACTAGGCATCCTCCGTGACGCTTACACTGCCCTCCTCTAGCTGGCTGCCCTCGAACTTTCCCTCTCGAACTTGCTGCTCTCTAACTACTCCTCTAGCTCCTTCTTCTTCGAACTGGTGAGTGAGATGGGGTCAGTCTACGCCCTTACGTTTTAAACTTTCCTATACTTGAGTACTTTGCTCAAACCCTTAACTTAACTGGTGGAAGTTGTTTTGAACTTCCGATCTTAAAACCTTAACTCTTAAACTTTGAGGGAGTTGAAGTTACTCTCCTCTCTTAAAACTCAAATCTTGACTTAAATACTTGACTGACACGGGGATCCCTCACTAGCTAGTCCGGTTGCCAACTCATACGTATGAGAAGCCACTCGGGCTTTCCTTAAACTTAAACTTAGTTAGGGAAGTCGTAACGATTCATCCCCCTAACATCTTAAACTTATTGTGGTGGCTCTTCACCACGATTCTCAAGAGCATAACTGCTTCTCATCTTAAAAGTCTCAAGAGCATAACTGTTGCTCTGTCTCAAAGATCTCAAGAGCATAACTGCTGCTCTATCTGAAAATCTCAAATGACAACGGACTGGCGCTAGTGACTAAAAATAATAATAACCATTCACTTAAAGTCATAAATCAACAAGGCACATATCATCAACCATAATCATAAGCAAGCACACAATTTCACATAAAACAACTTCTTAAACACGCAAGGTAGATACTTGGAAAAAAATACGTAAGGCGTAGAATTTACCCCCTTAACACTCACCTTTCCTCCGTTCATAACTGGCTCTGATTTTGCTCCACTCGCTTCAAACTTATTACACTCGTACTTGGCACAATCGGAGGGAGCAGCTTGCTTGGCACAATTGGAATTAAATGAACCAGTTGGCTTAAGCAAGCTGCTCTCATAGTAGTAGGAGAGGAAGTGGCGGCTTCTCCTTGGAGCCACTTCTTACTTCCCAATGAGCTGCTTGCTTCTTTTAAGCTGGACCAGCTTGCTTAAGCACTAAGCACCTCTTGTAGCAGGGAGGGTTATCCACAACTTTCACTGAGACGGGACGAGCTGCTGCCTTTGCTTTAGTAGACGAGCTGGCTTTGTCGACCAAGATTGGATGTTGCTTTGTCGACCAAAGATTGGACGAGCTTGCTTGACATTCAAGAGAAGGTCACAACGAGCGGAGCCGTTTATCATTACGATAGGTACCAAGTGGAAGTGCAGTGATATATGCAGCTGAGGTATCCTGACAGACCGATATACTTCAACCTTGCTGTAGTGGACGAGCTTGCTTTGTCGACCAAGATTGGACGTTGCTTTGTCTCGGGCAAAGATTGGGCGGGCGAGCTTGTAGGGACGGTTTCTTTGGTGGTGGTGACTCCCGCCGCAGCCTCCTGACTGCTTGAGGATCTTGCTTAAGCACACAGCTCTCGTGGTAGAAAGAGCAATAATTCGTCGTTTTCCTTTGGGGCGAATCACCCTCGCCACCTAGCTTTCGTCCAATTGAAGCCGCCTCCTACTCGCACCCCGCCACCGAGCCTCACCCGCCGGTTGATTCACCCCGAGAGGAGCTCCGCCGCCGCCGCATAGCAACGATGACACAAGCTTGGTTGAGCGAGCACCTCTCATAGTAGAGGGGATGATTCTGCGATTTTCCCAAGAGCCTTTCCGTGGAGAAAACGAAGAGCCCTCATAGTAGAGGGGATGATTCTACGATTTTCCCAAGAGCCTTTCCGTGGAGAAAACGAAGAGCCTGCGAGGGTTTAGTTTCTTTGGGTACTGCCGAGTACGATATAGGCTGGGCTCTAGGGTTTTAATTAGTCCAAGGGTATTTGTGCAAATTCATACTTGCGTGTGAGTTTAATCCGAAACTCAATTAATGTCCGTAGCTTTTTCAATTTATGTCGAAATTCGACCCCGCTTGAACCGATGGTTCACATTTTTTGTCCTCATCGTTGATACAGCGGAACTTGACCCAGGGGTATAATAGTCATTTTGACTTTTGGGAAGAGCGGGGTGTAACATTTCCTCCCCCCTTATAAAAATTTCGTCCCCGAAATTTGATCGTGCTCATCCTTCCATACTCCTCATTCTCGTGCTTCTTTGGGTCAAGATTTCACTCTTGCTATATGAACTTCAATGGCGTGCCCTTACCTTGTCTTGAATAGATTACTATAGTTCTTATATGTACTCTTGATAACAAAAGGTATTCTCATCTAGCTCGGTAGCATCGAATAGGTTTGAGTGACTCAATGCCCTTTTCATAATTTTCCAACTTGGGCCCAGTACTTGATGTTGAACCTATCGAAGTCGAGGTATCACATTTCCTCCCCACTTATAGAAATTTTTCCCTCGAAATTTGTCCACTATGATTACCCTAAGCATCGCTTGTGGTAATCCTTTGCACTTCGCGGATTTTTATTTCCTTTAACTTATACAACATGACCTAAAATCCTTCTCTCCATTCCCTGCAACTTCAGTGTTGTTGTGGCTTCTTAACCCCTCACATTACCTCGGCTGCACCTTGTACATATATAGGAACGATAACTATCCCTTGTTTGGTATACGGGACGTTAATGCTCCTCTTGAACCCCAGGGTTACATATGGCGGCTTATCCTCTATCCCATCAGATGGTAAATTCCTTTAATGAAACTCTCGTCCAGAGTTGACCTCATAGGTCACCTAGGTCCTTGTGTCTCCTAACTCTGCATCTCTTACTTTCTTCCTCAATTCCTCGTCTTATCTCTTAACCATAAACTGAATGGTCACCGCCTCGTTACTTGCTGCTTAGTGTTGGAACCTCATACTACTGTTTCTACTTCCTGTATGCGTTAGAGGCATCCTTTGCGTCTTTCTCTAGCTTGCGATCAACTTTATGAAATTTTTCCAGAATCATGACCTTCCATTTTGCGTACTTGCTCACTCCTAACACCTAACTTAACACTTCCTTATCATCGTTTGACTTGGGAGTTCTCGTACGACCTCTTCTATTGTTCTTTGACCTTTCCTGAAATTCCTCATACAGTTTCCCCGTCCAAGAAATTTACACCCGAGAGATTGACACCTTTCACCAACATAGGCAATCTTGGTTTCACTTTGGGGTGTTCTAGCAGGTTCCCCAAACTTATATCCATCTTACTTCTTTACTCGTGACTCCTCTTACCGATGTTTCTCGCTAGTTCTATATGTCCCTCGCCCTTGATGTAGTCATATTGGTGCCCATATTCTCTTCTCACTTATGTACCTTGACCGATAAGGTTTTCCTTTCGACCGTTCTGGACCACTACACTTCTACTTTAAGGTTGACCATTGAGCTTCTCCGTTCTTGATGGGCTTCCTATGGTCCAACTTATGCTCCACTGGCAATCATCTTAACGCCTCCTTGTTGACCTTCGTATTCTTTCGCCGACTCTTCCTAACTATCTTTCTCCCTGAATTTGTCGTTTTTATTAACTTCCACCCTTTTCACCATAACTTCCATTATAGCTTGTGGTTTCCTCCTTACTTTCACAACTCCTTCATCGATGCTTGGTACTAGCTTTGATCTACTCAGTTTAGTAGCTCCTCGCCATACCTCAGAGCCAACATTTCCACTAGAAACTTTCTCTAAGTAGACTTGACAGATGACACCCACGACTTCTACTCACGATGGTGCTTGACCACGTCCCAACTATCTTCCTTAACGCATTCATTGTCCAGTCGGCAACCACTTTTTTTTATTTTATTTTAATCCCTATAGCGTTCTATGGCGTTCTCCTTGCTTCTTTACTTTTACTACCCTTCTGTTGATGCTTTGTACTATTCTCGGTCACCAAACTCTGTTGAGTATCTTCTCGTTGTTGTTTTGGGTCAAAGCTTCAAATATTGGTTTCCCCTTGGTAGGCTTGAACATACCTCATCCACGTCTTTTGTCTCGACCGATGCTGGTACATAGCCTTAATCTCTTAGTCATGCCTCTTAGTGGCTTAACTAAACATGCCTGTTCCATCCTTAACTAGTTGTCTCCTCTGGAGCCCTCCTACCATGCCGCGCCCACTCAGAGTGGGGCACCTTGGATAAGGTAACTTCTCCTTTTCCTCCTTCTCGGTAGTGCTTTCCCTCATCGTGCCTCTTTGTGCAGCTTCTTGACCTCGAGTCGCTTGAGACTTGACCCATTGACTTCTTGAAATCTTGTCAAACTCCCTCTGGCCTTTTTGCTCTTCCTTGGTATTGTTCGCAAACTCTTCATTACGACCGTTTTAGACTCCTCCTCGAATTCTCCAACTTTCATTAGAACTTCTAATGAACGTTGTACTTGCTTGTCTATACCCTGTTGATTGAATGATTTACTCCTACGGATGGTTCCGAGACCTCAGCTCTCAGCCCTCTAGTTCCAACTAGTAGAGAGGTTCCTCCTTCTGTCACCCATCATGTACCCTAGGCGGCTAGGTGATCCCTCCATTTAGGATAGGACAATCCCATAACAGATCATTGTGAACTCTTGCATTCCCCTTTCAACTATCCCAACGACCTCCTGACCTTTCATGATCAGGGTAGTTTATAGGGTCTCTAATATCCTCTTTCTAGCTCTGTGTTGACTTAGTATTCAATTCACGCATTGTTGAGAAGCGGTTATCTATTCGTACTGCCATTTACTGGCTAACTGTGATTCCCTCTCACATTCCATATCTTTTCTTACTTATTGACTCCCCACTGTCTTCTACCAGGTATGATTTAGACTTCGGGGTACTTTCCCCCATGTCTCGTCTAACGGTGGTTGTACTGAGACCATAACTTATCATCTACATCATTTATCCCAGGGTCGTGTACCCTCTTCTCTAGTGACATAGTTTATTTACAAGGGTTCCTTTATCGACATTATGTAAATGACCATACCTCCTCTCCGCCTTGATCTTTTGACTCTTTGACGTCCTTTCATACCTCCTGTAACCTACTTATTACATCCCCTTTTGCTTCATTCGTACAAACCTATTGTTGCTTACGGTTTAAACTTTCCACTACTCCTTGTCACTGCGTTGTAATAGCATCGGCCACTAAAACTAGGTTAGGGACTTCTCGTGGTACCTCTTTGTTTCTTGACTCGCCACTGCTTAGGGTCAAGGACCCTGAAATTCTCCCATTATCATAGCTACTGGCATATGATGATTGTTCCTCTTCCTTTGGAGATTCATATTTCTCCCCTTTGCTTGTCTTAGCTTATTAGATTATCCACTTGTTTCCTAGTAGTAAAATCCCCGTACTGCTCTCTCAACTCCTTCAAAATCCTTGAGGTATTCCCTTTCAATTGGCACCTCTTTGCCGGTGTTTGGAGTTGAGTATTGCCGAGTACGGTAAAGGCTGGGCTCTATGGTTTTAATTAGTCCAAGGGTATTTGTGCAAATTCATACTTGCGGGTGAGTTTAATCCGAAACTCAATTAATATCCGTAGCTTTCTCAATTTATGTCGAAATTCGACCCCGCTTGAACCGATGGTTCACATTTTTTGTCCTCATCGATGATACAGCGGAAATTGACCCAGGGGTATAATAGTCATTTTGACTTTTGGGAAGAGCGGGGTGTAACATTTCCTCCCCCCTTATAAAAATTTCGTCCCCGAAATTTGATCGTGCTCATCCTTCCATACTCCTCATTCTCGTGCTTCTTTGGGTCAAGATTTCACTCTTGCTATATGAACTTCAATGGCGTGCCCTTACCTTGTCTTGAATAGATTACTATAGTTCTTATATGTACTCTTGACAACAAAAGGTATTCTCATCTAGCTCGGTAGCATCGAATAGGTTTGAGTGACTCATTGCCCTTTTCATAATTTTCCAACTTGGGCCCAGTACTTGATGTTGAACCTATCAAAGTCGAGGTATCACACTCAGTGCTAGCCCCGGAGAAAGTATACCCGTTGGTGATCATGTTGATAAATGTTGGGGTAATCTCCATGGTTGCATCCCAGTCGGAATGACAACACATGAAGCTCGACTCCGGTCCGTCGATTCAAGCGAGCCCTAATCAAACGATCCTCATCTGCCATGATGACAGGATCGATGTCATGAGGTGGTGGTGTAAGGACGACAAGTGATGAAGCCTGCCCTCTCTGTTGACGATTATGGGTTAGGGAAGGCCTAGGAGTTGTGGTTGGCTGCTTCCCTAACTTGACCTGCTTCCTGTTCTGTCTGCAGGCCTTCTTGATCTCCGGGTCTAGTGGCAATAAATCCCTGGTTGTCCTCCTAGGCATGCACAAAAAGGATTAACCTGGAATTCACCTACACAATACCACACAGATCAAAATAGTTCACTCACAAAAATCAACAAAAATAAGGTATGACAGTCCCCGGCAACAGCGCCAAAAACTTGATAGGGCAAAAGCATATATGTCGATTTCCTATCTCGTAGTAAAACTAGAAAGTCCGGGTATCGTCTCTTAGGGACTGGTACAACCTTAAGTTCTATCAATTTTATGAGCAAACAATAAGTGAAAATAGTTTAATGAGACTAATTTCTAAAAGAAAAATAAAATAAACAAAGTAACTAAATGAAAGCTGTTGGGAGAAATTCAATGGAGAAATCTCTGGGAGAAACACCGGGACTCACTACCTATCCTATCCAAATTAATTCACATATTCCAATCAGTTTAATCCAACTCTCTACCGCCAGGATATCACAAATGTAGCTATCCCTGTCGGGAATTACTACGTACTAAATAATTAAATCAAATCCTACTGTCGTAGCTCAATGAGTTAATTATTTAGCCTGAAGACCGATATCCCAATCAAGACTGCATAGTATCTTATTTAATCCACTGTCGCTTCGATAAGTTACTATGTCACATGAAATATGTTCAGTTATTAGGGTTTTACTGTCGCTAATAACCTAATTAACTATAATTCATTTATTGGTGGCCAATCAACACAAAGCATTAAGCAATTTCATGCAATAGAGATTGAAAGAAAAGAAATATGAATCAATCTATCAAATATAGAAATAGCTACATCCTATGGTGTTATCCCCCAAAAATTGGAGTTTAGTTCATGACGAAATCAAAAGATATAATCATGTTCATACTCATCATTGAACTCATCACGAGAGAAAGAAAATACTAATTTTGAATTATGCACTGCGATCTCCTGTTCCTCACGATAGCTTGCTGCTGTCCCTCGCTAGTAGCCTGTTGTTCGCTCTTGTTCCGCGCTGCCCTCGCTATTATTCCTCCCAAAAGGAATTCTCTACTCGCCAATTCCTTCTCCAATTAATTCCCTCTATCCAATATATTTCCTCTAGCACCCAGTCTCTCCCAAAAGAATCCCCGGTCCAATTAATTCAATTCCGTCCAGTACTCTCCAAAGGCGTCCAAATAATTCCAAGTCTCCAAACTCTGCGTTACCTCTTTTCTTCCTTTTTTTTTTTTTTTGCAAGGACAAAGAAGTTGGTCCCTTTTTAAATCCCAGAACAAGAATTGCAATTCCCTTTAGCTCAATTCCGGGTCCAGGTTTTCCTTGTGGGCTGACCGACTGGTTTCAAATGGCCCAACTGCTTACTACATAATAGATCCCAAATTCCCTGTCCAATTAATTATACTCTCGCTTTTCTTGTACTTCTTTTTCCATTTGGCTGTGCTATTGCAATCTGCCCGTGCTATCATTTTCTCATTTTCTTCACCTGAAACACATCAAGAACTCTAACACCTGATGGTAATGGCTTTTCAACCATTCCATAGTTAATTGGCCCTAAAGCATTCTATGTGTCAAACATATCATGAAATAATCACATTAAGCACATGAAATCAATATGTTTGCGACAATTATCAGGATGCAATCGACGATGTTCAAGCAAGTATGCACATGAATTGGCACGAAACAAACCTTGATATGATGATTAAGTAACATTGATTTAGGTGTTATCAAACACACCTCATGAGCAACTAGATTTCATCAGCAATGAAAGGCGCATAGAACCTTACAACAACAACCTTACCAGCCTAGACAAGGACCAACCTTCAGACTGCATTAGCAGCTTTAGCAGCAACAGCGGGAGTACTAGTAGCCTAGTGCAGCCTCATCGACCCTAGCACAGGGCAATCATATGTCTGAGTTGAGAGACATAGTGAGCACTCTCACAAGCTAGTTAAAGGAACCAACAAGTTGTCTCTCATGATATCCAGGCCCAGCTCGGGACTGTGGCTCAATTCGTAGCACACAGAAGACTGGGTAACCTACCTTCCCACATAATGCCTAACTTGCGAGACCCTGACCAGCAGTTGAAGGCGATCAAGACCAGGACCAGGAAGGTGACTATTGAGATTCCTACCCAAGACAGACAAGAGGAAGAGAGAGTTGCTTCAACACTTCCAGGAAATTAAGGAGAAGTAAAGAAGGAGAAAAAGGTGTATGCTCTTAAGCCACAACCAGTAGTGAAGAAGCATGTCCCTCAATTCCCCGTCCCTACTTGGATGCATAAAGACCGATACCGACTGGAGACTAAGTTTGCCAAGTTTATGGAAATGTTAAAATAGGTGAACATTAGCGTGCCTTCATAGAGGCGCTGTCAAAGATGCCCAGGTATGCGAAATTCATGAAGGATCTCCTCACCAATAAAAGAAAACTTGGCGAGCTGTCGACAATGATGCTCGATGAGGAATGTTCTGCCATCTTGTAGAACAATCTACCAGAAAAGGACAAAGACCCAGTGAGTTTTACTATCACTTACATTATAGGTAGCATGTAGGTAGGGAAGTCCTTGACGAACTTAGGCACTAGCATAAATGTGATGCCATATAAATTGTTTAAAAAGCTAGGCCTAGGTGAACCCATTAATACACGGATGGGCATATAGTTGGCTGATTGTTCCATTGTGCATCCTAGAGGCATTTCAAAGGACTTAATTGTCACAATAGGGCCATTTTCATATCCTTTTGTCACACCAGGACAATCAAGTCCTTTGCAATGCACTTGGAAGAGCATTTGGCAGCATTGGACCCAAGGGTGTTCACTGAACTCAAGAAGTAATTCAAGCCAATGCTCCATCAGTGTGGACCGCTACCTCGCTAGAGGAGCCACCAGAGCTGGAGCTTAAACCCCTCCCCTATCACCTTGTGTCTGCATTTCTAAGGGAGGGCAATAAGCTACCAGCCATCATCAGCTTGGAACTGACCTCCGAGCATAAAGGCATTCTGGTGGCCCTACTCAAGAAGCATGCTCGTGTTATGTCCAGGAAGATCACAGATATCTGGGGGATCAGCCCCTCCTTTTGCTCCCACAGAATTCTGATGGAGGATGGGTCATGCTAGTAAGGCAGTCGCAGCGGAGGTTATCTCCCAATCTGGGGGTAGTAGTCCGGGTCGAGATTATCATATTGATGGACGCAGGGATGATCTTCTCCATCTCAGATAACCCATGGGTCAGTATCACTCAGGTGGTCCCAAAGAATGTGGGATGATTGTTGTCCCCGAATGAGAAGAGCGAATTTATCCTAATGTGGACAATGAATGGGTGGCACGTCTGCATCAACTACCGTTGCGTGAATGATGCCACCAGGAAGGATCACTTTCTGCTCCGTTCATTGATTAGATGTTGGAGAGGCTGGCAGATCATGAGTTCTACTGCTTTCTAAATGGGATGTCGAGGTACTTCCATATCTCAATAGCACTAGAGGTTTAGGCGAAGGCCACTTTCACCTGGCCCTTCGAAAGCCTTTGCATACAAGCTGATACCTTTTGTCCTTTGCTACGCACTGACCGCCTTCCAGCGGTGCATGGTAGCCATCTTCGACAAGCTGGTTGGAGAGATTATGAAAGTCTTGATGGATGACTTATCGATTTATTGAGACTCCTTCTCTTAGTGTCTCCATAACCTGGAACTTGTCTTGAAGAGGTGTGAAGAAAGGAACTTGGCACTTAGATGGGAGAAGTGCCACTTCATCGTTCGTGAAGGGATAGTGCTGGGTTTGAAGACCAAAATGGCGACGCCTGAAGATTGTGATCGCAAGTATGAAGATTACGACCTCGATCTTTCACTTGCCTGGCCGAGAACTTGTCCCTCCCTTGAAGTCTATAAGTAGAGGACCACTTCCCCCATTTGAAGAGAACTGATTTTGAGATAGAAATTCCTAGTTTAGAGAGAGAGAAAAGCTGAATGAAGGAGGAGAAGCTAGAATAGAGGAACCATCTTCCTCAACATCAAGTCTTCCCCAAATGCTTCTATGTATCTTCTTTCCTCCTTTATGGAGTAGTCTTCTAAGGTAGTAGGGGTTTTAAACCCCAAACCTACTTTTAGGGATATTATGTAATGTATGGATATGTTAGAGTTTTGAATGAATGTGTTTATATCGGTGATTTCATTTCTTCTTTAGCTTTAATTGTGTTTAGGTAAGTCGCCATTATCTTCTCTACTAGCCTACTTGAGCTTCTACGATGGGTATGGAGTTTTAGGGTTAGACGGGTATGCGCCATTAAGCAAATTAGAGTTAGATGAATGAATATGATCTTATGGTGGACAATTTGACCATACCCCTATCATAAGAATACCTTCCTAGATAGAACCCGAGAAAAAACCTTGGTGTGGACGGTGGGTGGTACCCATTGAAATGAGCTATGTTCTTAATCCCTAGATACGATAGCCTAGATCGAGGTGATTGGCAAGGGTTTAAGGGAGGCATACTCGGAGGCGTGTGGATAACCATGAAAGCCCATGGAAAAGAGCTCACTCACCACATTCGCTAAACCCAACTTATTTAGACATTGTATGTTCCCCAAAGTACCTGCTTTTATCCCTATTTATTCACTCTACTAGTTATTCCACTTGAATCCTCCAACACAACCCCTTAAACAGATCGGATAGATAACAACAATGTGGGAAGTAGGCTAGGGTACCGGGACCTATAGGTGTCAAAACAGAACCCAACCCGACTAACTCGCCCGATCGACCCGACCCGCAACCCGAATTTACTAAAAGTCAACAACCTGTAACTACCCCCCCCCCCCCCCCCGACCCGCAACCCGACGAACCCACAACCCGACTGACCCGCAATCCGATTAACCCGAACCCGACTAACCCGCAACCCGACCGACTCAACCCGAACTTCACCTAATCCACTTGAATAATTATTATATTATATAATACATAGTTTTTTAAAATAAAGGTTTTCATTCTAAACTTAGGTAAAATTATTTCTTCATCATTTCGTATAGGAAATTTAAAAATATGAAACTCACTTGATATTATATATTTTAAGAAAAATACAAAAATTGAAACATGAAGGTCACTTGCACACTAAGTTCTTTAACAAAATTAAAAAAATAAATATAAAATCCACACAATGTGAATATTAATAATTCATAATTCATAATTGAGATCATGGTCAATATTAATATAATATATAAATTAAAGTTTTGGTTAATTTAACTATTCAATAAAGTTATCAATTAAATATAAATAAAGTAAAGCAATGTATTTGATAATTTGATACTTTTAAAAGAATAGGAAAATTTTGGTGTATTCAACTTTTTTGGAAGAGAAAGAAGAGGTAAATTATGTTCTTTGAATTTTTTAGAAAAGAAAAAGGAGGAATTTTGGTGGTTTTGATTTGTGGGAAGTGAAGAAGTGGGAAAGTTTTGTTCTTTTCATTATGAAAGAGAAATAAGGAGTGAAATTTTGAATTTTTAACTTTTTATGAAAGGAAGGAAGGAAGAGAAAAATTTGGTTCTTCAAATAGAAGAGAAAGAGGAGGGAAATTTCAAATTTGATTCTTTCAATTTTATGGAAGAGAAAGAGGAGGAAATTTTCAAATTTGATTCTTTCAATGTTATAAAAGAGAAAGAGGAGGAAAATTTTAGTATTTTCTAATTTATGGAAGGAGATAGAAGGAGGAGAATTTTAGTATTTTAATTTTTTTTGTGAAAAACAAAGAAGAAAACAATTTTGGTGTTTACTGCAATCATTTATTTTAGAAAAATTCACTTAATTTGTCTACTTGTTTTCTATGCTTCTACATTTATTGCAATTTCAACACTACATGATCGGTATTTTACAAAACTTAGTAAAATTTCCCATATTTAAGTTGTGTTCAAGTTGAACTTTCATTTTAAAATGGGTGTTAAACTTGGTCTGTTAAGTCTTACGATTGCAATAGCTCAGTCGAGTTGCGGGTTTGGAAATTTTGGTTAATCGGGTTGCGGGTCACTTTGGAATGGAAAATTAGAGGGAGGTTCGAATGAGAACTTTGGAATGGAAAATTTATGGGAAGGTGAATATGAGCCAACAATTATACTAAACTTGATAAGTAATTTTTGACTGTTCATTGTTTAGGGTATAAAGTATATGGTTAGGGTATAGAGTATAAGATATAGATGGTTTAGGGTGTATATAGTTAGGGTATAAAGTATTGATGGTTTTGACGGTTCTAAGTTTTTTATTAACATATGTTCACTTGAAGTAATTTAAAATATTTAACGGCAGGAAATCCCTTTTTAATTTATGTTTATGGTACGTGGTTAGGGTACATGGTATATGGTGTAGAGTATAGGATATATGGTTAGGGTATAGCAAATATCACTTTTTTATCTATGTTTCAAAAATCAAAGTATGAATTTCACTTTAAATTAACTATACTAGCAAAATCACAACTCATGGGGATATATGGTTAGTGTATAGGGTATGTTGTTAGTTTATAATATATTGATGGTTTACGGTATACGATCAATAACATATATTAACTTAATATTGTCGATTGAGAGTAAGGCTATGTATAGGATATATGGTATTGAGTAAGTTATGATTGAAGTCACAACAATTTTACAAATAACTCGTATGGCAACAATTTACTGAAGTTATTAGGGCAATGAGTTATTTCGAAATAACTCCTTTTACCACTTTGCTTTTGCCAAATGCCACATGCCAAA